TTGGTGAAGTGTTCATTTCAGTGAGTTTTTTCACTATATCCCACCATTGCCTTTGGGCTTGCAGAGCTTCCTCTGATAGGTCTGCTGTGAATCTAAGGGATGCTCCTTTGTATGTGATTTCCTTCTTGACCTTACTGCTTGCGGTATTGTGTCTCTATGCGCAGCATCAATGATTCTAACTATGATATGTCTTGGAGTGTTTTTGTTAGTGTCTCTTTTAGCTAGCACCCTTCGGGCTCCTTGAACCTGAATGGCTACATTGTTTTGTCCTGTGAATTTTTCAGCAATGATTTGTTTGACCATGACTTTTTCATTGGAATTGTTTCTCTGACCTTCTGGTACTCCAATGATTCTAATGTTGTTCCTCTTGGAATCATATCCTAGGACTCTGATTCGCTCTCTAGCTATTTTGAAGTCTCTTGTCATTGTTGTTGCCTATTGGCTTTGTGCAGCTGATCTTCCAGCTCACTGATTCTGTCTTCAGCTGTGGCCATTCTACTGTTGAGGGCACAGACTGAGTTTTTTATTTCATCTACAGAATCTTTTATTCATGACATTTCTGTGCGTAGCTTTCCAATTTCTGCTCTCATTTCTTCCCGTATTTTCTCAATTGTTTCTTTCATGTCCTACTTTAATTTACTGGATATCTGTCTCACTGTTTCATTGAGTTCATTAAACATCTTCATTACTTCATATCTGAATTCTTTCTCTGAGAGATCCCTTAGGTGAGTAGCACCTACTTAGGCTTCTGGACTCTTTTCGTTTTCCTCCCTTCGTGGTGGGGTTTGCGTTGTTTCTACATGTTGGTGTGAAGGTATAGAGACTGAGATCGTAGGTCACAGTCCTCCCGTTGTTCATCGATTTGCTCGAGCGGGCCCAGTAACGTCTCCATCATGAGACTTGTTGTTTGAAATTGTGTGGCTGCAGGCCCAAAATTAGGCCATGCCCACTTCTACAGAAGTCATGCCCACTTCTGAAGAGGCCACGCCCCCTGTGGGTACCTGGTGTGTGTGGGGTACAACCTGGGGGAAGAAGAAGACTGGCACATCCTTGAGGTCGAGCTGGAAGAGGCTCAGGAATCGTGAGAGTCCCATAGTCCTAGAGGACGCCTTGGGCTCGTATGCAGAAAAAGCCAAGTCCCAGGTTCAAATACTGACGGACTAACTGACCTGGGGGAGGAAGAAGACCTAAAAAAATTTTTTTTAAATCTAAGTTTGGGGTTCCTTTTACTTTTTCTTAATTTCACCTCACTTTTCCACTTCAATTATTTCTGATGGTATTCTAAGTAGTGTCAGGGGCATCTCTGTTCTGGCGCCAGTTGCCTTAGGTGTTCCTGTTTGGGCGCCATTTGTCTGCATCACTGTTTCACAACGACTGGGGACTTATGACAGTCCCATCCACCCACCCAACCCCCACGGATAGACAAAGTAACAGGTCCACAGGAGGGTAACCAGTGGCACTTTATTCAAATCAATCAACATTATCATAGAGAAATCATAAAGGGTTAGGGACAGCAATTACACATAGGTGTGGTTGACTATTAACATAAGTAAGGAACAGATGTAAAGTCCTTCCTTCAGGGGAAATTCTAGGAGATCCCAAGAACAGCATTTCATCTTGGGATTCCAACAGTCTAGATTTCTTCTAGAAGATCTGCTTAAGGGTGGAATTCCATCTAAGAGAATATTGCTTTCTCCTTTCCTTTGCTGGTAATCCATTTAAACAATCATATTAACTTTATTTTTTAATAATATTTCCAGTCATTTGTATGAACACAGTAAGAGATAGAGACTTTTATCTATATCCTAGGTTAAGCTTAAAATGGTATCTCTGAACTCATGGTAAAGGGTGGCTTTTTCTGGGGACATCTTGCTATATTTCCCAGACAATAGTCCTCAAGCCAGGTTAGTTTTTCCTAACCCCAACAGGGTCCTTATTCAGTTACTTCTTTTTGGTTCATCACTTAATCACTTAATCACTTAACTTCCCGTTAGTCGTCGATTTGCTCGAGCTGGCACCAGTAACGTCTCCATTTGTCCCTGTCGCGTGCTAGTGTAGCCCAACGGCATCTGTTCGCTCTGGGATCATGAAGAGCCTCAAACCAATCGTTCATGATCTTCACGAAGAAGTCTGACCATCTGGTAGGTGGGCGGCCACGCGGTCTTTTGACATCCCGTGGAATCCAGTCAGTAACAGCTCTAGTCCAGCGATCGTCTTTAAATCTCATTACGTGACCAGCCCATCTGATTTTTGACACCTTGGCAAATGAGACAGTGTCCCTGATTCTTGATCGTCGACGGATGTTGGAACTCTGGATTTTTTCTCTCATTTGAGTGAAACGTGATATTCCAAGCATAGCTCTTTCTATTCTTCTTTGGGAGACATGAATAGCATTCTCATCCTTTTTGCGTGGGGCCCAGGTCTCTGAGGCATATCGACACTACCTCCACTACCCAGCCGTTGCCACACTTCAGGACGCTTTCCGGACCCGCACGGCCGCGAAGCACATCATAAAACACTAAATACCCATCTTCAGGAATTGTCGTACCATATTTGATAGAGTTCAAATATGGTAACACCTACAAGGGTGATTAGAGGTCACCCCAAAAGCCTCTATCCCTCTTGGAAAGACTGGCAAGCTACCGAGAGTATTCCACCCGCATGGAAGAGCCTGGCAAGCTATCCGTTGTGTATTCGATATGCCAAAACCAGTAACTACAACTGGTCTCATTCACCTGCCCCTGAAGGCTTCACCGACATGGCAGCACTGAGAAGGATGAGAAAGGAGAGGCCGACAAAATCTCAAGGCCGAACTAGGCTGCCACAACAAAGGAAGACAAAAATGATCGTCTGTACTTTCAATGCACATATGCTAGCATCAGATGCATCCATAGAGGACCTGATGGTACAAGCGCGAACGATCAAGTACGACATCATTGGTCTGACGGAGACAAGAAGGCACGAATCTCACCATGCCGTTTTGGTTCATGTAAGAGTTTATTCCATGATCATGCTCTTAACTTATTATACTTCTTATGGTGCTTAGGCTGTCCTATATTGAAGCCAGGTGGCTTACATCTTGTCCCAGGTCCATCCAAGTACCTTAGCCTGACCCACCTTTTGGAATATAAGGAATTAAGGTCAATCTAAGGACAATTGAGGCTTAAAACAAATAGTAAATATTTCAGAATCAATGAGTTCCCATATTGCAACTGCCGCGTCCGGCGCTGCGGGGCCGAGCCAGGGGAGGGCTGTCAGGGTGAAATCAGCACTCGAGTCACACAGGGTTCCGTCATTCAGGAGATGGCATGAATGCGTGCTTGCGTGCGTTTATTCAGAGCACAGGTACAGACTTAAGTATGTTTCCACATCCCACCCAAAAGAAAGGAAAAGGGGATGGGATGTGGGGAAGTGGATGGGACGATGAATAGAGCCATGCACCGTTGGTCAGTCACAGTGAGCAGAGCCATGCACCGTTGGTCAGCCACCTGGTGACCCTTTCGACCTAATGCTACCGGTTGGAGCGGCCTGCTTTGTTACAGTTTTGACATATCCATAGAGACTGTGCTGTTCCTCATACATCATTTACAAATCATTTACGAGGGTGCATTTTCCCCAAACTAAAACCTCCTGTACTGGGAAGTTGCCCAGCTTTGAGCAGGACAAAGGGGGAATGAAAAATCAAGCATTCTTTTACTTGGTCAGTAGGCAACAGCAACAGCATAGCATTAACTGTTTTCCTGTATCTATACAAAAGACATGTTACTCTAAAATAAAAATATACAAAGGGCTTAAAGGAAAGAAAACAAAAATATACATACAAAAATCTAGAATCATCAGAAGGTTTGACTTTATAAGTTACCATGTCAGATTTGGAGATAGCTGTGACTAACAGATAAGGAAAGAATACAAGGGAGAAGTTCAAGATAAACACAGAGAATTGGGAGTGCCTAGAGGGAATTGGATGTGCCCTCAGGAACAATAGAGTAGCTGTAATTCAATTAACCAAAGCTCTCTTGAAGGAGGAGAAAGAAAAACCCAATGTTAAGCCTAAAATGCTTGGAACTATCACTTGATCACTTGATACCCCGTTACTCATCGATTTGCTCGAGCAGGCGCCAGTAACGTCTCCATTCATCCCTGTTGCGTGCTAGCGTAGCCCAATGGCTTCTGCTCGTTCTAGGAACATGAAGAGCCTCAAACCGATCATTCAGGGACTTGGCAAAGAAGTCTGACCATCTCGTAGGTGGGCGTCCACGCGATCTTTTGACGTCCCATGGAATCCAGTCCGTAATGGCTCTATTTCAGAGGTCATCTCTAAATCTCATAACATGTCCATCCCATCTGATTTTCGATGCCTTGGCAAAGGAGACAGCATTCCTGATTCTTGAGTATTGACGGAGGTCGGAACTCCAGATTCTATCTCTCATTTGAGTGAAGCGTGATACTCCAAACATAGTCTTTCGATTCCTCTTTGAGAGACCTGAATAGCATTCTCATCCTGTTTTCATAGGGCCCAGGTCTCTGATTATAGCTTGGAACTATAATCTAACAAAGTAGCTCATTTCTTTTTTTTTATGTTTTTGGGCTCTTCAAAAATGTCTTTAAGTATATACTTCATCTATTTTCCATACTGCATTATTTTATAATAAAAGCATGTTTACAAATTTGCCTGGAAATAAAGATTTCACTTTTCCTCCCAACTAATCACTCATCTGCCTGGTTCTTTTTTATGCATAAATTTCCTGGCAAGGTTAACTCTGAATTTTTTTAGAAATCTGTATTAAACTTATAAATAAATGGAGACAGTATATTCATCTTTTTATTTCAAACTTAAATGTTTTAATTAATGAATATGACAGGTATGACAACATTCTTTGTAACTTGAGGCTAGTTTTGTGGTATAAAATGTCAATATTATAAGATTTCCGTATGTGAGAAAAATGTTTATGCTCTTATTTTTATTTTATTTATTTATTTAGTTAGTTAGTTATTTTTACCAGGGGAGAGCGCTGATGCAGTCCCCCACTATAACAAATTATGCAGTCGAGTTTCCTACATCTGGGGAAATCGCAGGGGTCAGCACATTTCAAGCGCAATGAATGAGCCTCGCCCTGGGAAAACCACCTACATGATCATGGTGTCTCCCCTGCCAGGTAAGTATATGCTCTTATTTTTAATGTACAATTCAATCCATACCCCAGAGATCAAAACTAATAAATTTCTTAAACATTTGCTTATTTTGTTCCACCTTGCCAAAATTTCAATTAAAATCTTGGCTAGAATGGTAAATTAATATATTTTCCTGTTATTACATTCATTTTGGTTTTATCTAACATATAGCAATTTTAGTGCAAAAGTGTTCAAAATTTGATCATTGTACAATTGAAACCCAAGCACAAAAATTTGTAAATCTACAACTGTACCTCATGGTGTTTCACTAACAAAAATTTTTAAAAAATGTAAATGATGGAGAATGGGCACTGGCGGAGGGATGGGTACTGGATCATTGTATAACTGAAACCCAAGCACAAAAATTTGTAAGACTAAAACTGTACCTCATGGTGTTTAACTAATAAAATTTTTTTAAAAAGTGTTCAAAGTTTCTATATCTACTTATTTAGACGTTTTATTAATTTGTAATGCTCCATCTACATTATAATACTATTTTTAAACATGAATTTTCCTTTATAGCATATATGTATCTGACTATTTACTGTTTCTTTTCCCATCATACAATTTTCTTCTATTAATCTTACAGTAATACTAATCTATATGTACATATATATCCTCTAAATAGCATTTTGACTATAAATTCTGACTCTAGTAAAACGTTCTTACCATGTGGATTTAGATTTGATGGGATTGTATATTTGGTCTTCTTTATAATATTTTACATTTTTAGCTTATTTTGCCATTTTTTAAGTTTCTTTCCTCTTCCTTGAATTTTCCTAATAAATGAATAATGACTTTGTATGTCAAAATGCAAAAAATATGCATTTTCATATTATTTTTCTTTCTTGAGATCTTTAATTTGTACAATTTATTTATATTACTTTGATAAGTATATCAAAAATTATCCCAATGTTTAACTAAACTCTAAAACAAACAACATAGGAAGGTCACCATTAATACACAGAAAAATGCAAGCTACAGATTGGGAGAAAAGGACTTCTGTGTAGAATATGTAAAGGGGGGTTATAAATCAACAAGAAGAGAATAAGTATTGGTAAAGGGAAATGTGTTTGATATTTGCATGACTGAGACCTAAACCTGAAAGCTTTGTAACCTTTCCCATGGTGATTCAATAAATAAATAAATAAATAAAATTTTAAAAAAAAAAGAAGAGAATGTCCAACTTTTTCCCCACTTCTTATGCATACAGATTTTTCTAGGCACTTTTCTTAGTTCAAGACATAGCTCCTCATTTTTTTCTTTTTGGCTTTTTGGGTCACACTTGGTGATGCACAGGGGTTACTCCTGGCTTTGCACTCAGTAATTATTCCTGGCGGTGCTCAGGGTACCATATGGGATGCTGGGGATCGAATCCAGGCCAACAGCATACAAGGCAAATGCCTTATCCGCTGTATTATTATCTCTCCAGCCCCTCATTTCTTGAGGGGCTAATAAAAGGGCAGTCTATTTTTTCACCAAAGAAGATATACAAATGAACAATAAGATATCCATGAAAACATCATTTGTCACTAGGGAAATTAAAGCAAAACTACAATGTTATAGCACTTCATATTCCCAAGAATTGCTATCAAGGAGACAAAAAAGAACTTCTTGGGGAGAATGCAGAACCCACATACACTATGGGTGGAAGTGAAAATGATTGAATGAATCAGCTGGAAAAACAACTGTCAATTTCTTCAGTTCAATAAAGTTTTAATACATGGGCCACCCAATTCTACTCATAGGCATCTTCATTTGAGAAATTAAAAATATACTTGTGTGTAGATTTTCATAGATTTCCATAAAATCCAGTGAAATTATCCCAAATGTAGTGAATTAAAATAGTGAATGAAGATAGTGTGATATATCCTTACAAGGTATACTGATGACCAGTTAAAATGAATAAAAGTAGTCACTCAAGAGAAAACATAAACTAAGCTCAAAAACATTATGCTAAGCAAAACCAAAAACATAAAAGACCGTAATTTGTATGATCTAATTTATCTTGAAAGTCTAAAATAAAAATCTACATATACAGAATGTAGATTAAATGTTGCCTTGAGGAGAACCAGGGAGAGAGAGAGAGGAAAAGTGTCTGCCACAGAGGCAGGCTTGGGGGGGCCAGAGGGAAACTGAGGACATTGGTGGTGAGAAATGTACACTGTTGAAGGGATGGGTATTGGAACATTGTCTGACTGAAACCCTATCATGTAAAACTTTGTAACTGCGTATCTTACAGTGATTCAATTTTTTAAAAAATGGGGCTGGATCAATAATTCAGCGGGTAGGGTGTTTGCCTTGCACGTGGTCAACCCAGGTTCGATTCCCAGCATCCCATATGGTCCCCAGAGCACCGCCAGAAGTAATTCCTCAGTGCAAAGCTAGGACTAACCCCTGAGTATTGCCTGATGTGACCCAAAAAGCAAAAAAAAAAAAAAAATTAAAAACAACTGCAACAACAAAAGTGTTGCCTTGAGCCAGAAATAAGGAAAAGGTGGTAACCAGTTAAAATGGTACAGTGAATGATTTTGAGTGCGAATACATCTGTGTATTCAATTTGTTGTAATAGTTGCATTACTTTGTAAATTCACAAAGTTCACTTTACCAACAACTTAAATAAATAAATTGGGATGTCTTTTAAATGTGACATTCATTTAATTTCCATTGTTTCCGGTTGATCTGCAGTGGGATAAATGAGAGAATTGCACCCATTTCCTACTTAGCATATGAGATTTAGGTTGTTTAAGTTTTACTCTATCTACTTCTAGCTTTACTACTTCTTGGTGGCTGTTTTAAAAAATGAGAGATCCTTGAGTTTACTTACAAAATAGGTTTTCCTAAATTTGCCCAATTCTAAATGTTCGTACAGTTCAGCAAAACAAATTACCTTTAGAATAATATATACCTTTTTAACCCAATGGGCATGCCAGAAAACAAAGGAATAATTTGATTATTGTTTCTCAAGCATAGCTTTCCCTGAATTGCTTTGTCCTTTTGACACGGTTATAATGCCAGGAGCTTTAACATTTTAACAGAGGGATTTCCTCCTCCTTGCCTTCCATTCTCCATAGGATATCATTTCTTCACTTTCACCATAGTTCCTATTTGGACCTGTCATAATGAGTACCACTGTTCTTCTTCCTTCTCATCTATCTCTTTCTACATTAATCCTGAGTAGTGCTCACCAAAAACATCTTCCTATAAACACTGATTTAGTAGACATTTATGGATAATATAAAGCATTTGGAAAATTTTATAGTGCTTATGAATTTTAATTTTGAAGGAGAACAGGTGAAGAATAGATTTAGTTATAACTTTAAGGTATTCATTCCCACAAATGACACACTATTAGTACACAAGGAAAGTAGATACATCATTTATTGTCTAAGCAGAAACTATTGTGAAAATTTTATGGTGTTTCATTAACTATAAATTCTCACCTGTAGATAATGTTCTCTTAGAGAAGTACTCTGCTTGGGCCAGAGCAATATTACAACAGATAGGGCACTTGCTTTGCAAGTGGCTCTCCTGGGCTAAATTCCCCAACTCCAAGCCTGCCAGGAGTGGCCCCTGAATACAGAGCAGGGAGTAAGATCTGAGCACTGCCAAGTATGGCCTCATAAAACAAACAAAAGTGCGCTGCAGCTATAAAAGGCTGAAAACCACTGGGAAAAAACGTAGATTTTATTGCTTGTTGATATTTTGCTTATTGAAATTTTATTGCCCTCCCTGTAGGGTAACATTGCTTTGTCCTTCTTCCACAAGAAGCTTAGAGTTATCTGGTTACACCCATCACAGTGCTGCTGAGGCACTTCCATTGTGTTTATCTGTAAACAGTCTTCCCTACATTCTCCTTCCCACCCAGTTAATCAGCTTTCCCCTTAATCAGACTCTGTTAATTTGTAAGATCAGTTTCCCAGAAATCTATGATTTTATATGTATGAGTGAAATATTGCCTTTCTCCTCTCCTTATGCCTTATGAACAGTTTACCTTAAAGTAATATCCTTTTTGTATAGATACAGGAAGACCGTTAACATCATGCTTTGTAACTTAGGATTTGATTGGCTTTGAATATTATTCACTCCCGGGCATCTGCTTTCTCAACTTAAGCCTCAGTTGCCCTTAGCTCCTAACACCCCAAAGGCAGGGTCCGGATGAGGGACTGAATGGACCCAGGGCAAGCAGTGAGCTACCCTGGCAGCGAAATGGGCCAGTCCAAAGTGCCATGATTCTTAACTATAAGTTAAGAGTTTGATCATAGACAAATGCTGTCATGATCCAAAGGTAATGACGAGACTAGGATCCTGCTAGGGGTGGGAAAGACTATCTGGTCTGAGCACTGTAGTCTGAGATCGAGATGGCCCTAGGAGAGCAATTCTATAAGTTTAAGATATTTCTTACTGTATCCATACAAAATGATTTATGTCATATATGCTTATATGCTTGTCGGACAAGGAGAGGAGAGACACACCCACGGGATCCCGCTCTGGGGTGGGTCCTCCTGCTGAGAAAGGATCTGTCCTAGGAGCGGCCTTCCCTGAGGCTAAGATTTCTACCCCTATTGATTGTGACTGCACCTATGTGTAATTGTTCCCCCAATTCCTCTTGGAGAGAGATATAATGAGACTGTAGATGGGGCATAGGGGAGCACAGGGAAGAGTATTTACAGATAAACACAATGGAAGTGCCTCAGGAGCACTGTGATAGGTGTAACCAGATAAACCTAAGCTTCTTGTGGAAGAAGGACAAAGCAATGTTATCCTATACCTCCCCATTAGAAAAGAACCTTCAAAATTGTTTTAAAGTAGCCAAATAATCAAGATTTTAGTGCAACAATTTCCTTTTCACTTTCTTAATTTTTAAATAAGTTTTTATTGAGATATCATAGTCTACAATAGTATTGATATTGCTGCACTATGCCCACTCCCAGAGTCAAGCTTCCTCCATCTCTATCCCAAGGTCTCTCACCATCCCCTCCCTTATTAATATCACAAGGGCCTTTGTAATAATGGTACTTACTCTCTATGGCAACTTGTATTGTCCTAATTTCTCTCTCCCTCATACATTCCAAATTCTTTTTTTTTTTTGCTTTTTGTGTCACACCTGGCCCTGCACTTAAGGAATTACTCCTGGTGGTGCTCAAGGGACCCTATGGAATTCCGTGGGTGGAACCTAAGTGCCTAAGTGGGCCATATGAAAGGCAAATGTCTTACCTGCTATACTGTCGCCCCAAACTCTTTGTTTAAACTGCTATACTGTTAATGCAATGCTCATACTATATTGAAGTGCAGCTATGTCTGTTTCCCCAATCTCACCATCTAGTTGGGATGCAGCTATAATATAGAAGAAAAAGCTGAAGAGTGAAACTGATAAGAGAGTATCTGGATTACAGTGTTTGCCTTATTACTGAGCAGTTCTGTGACTTTATTGTCTGGCTGATACCTGAACTAAGAAATATGCATTTTCATGTTATTTTTCTTTCTTGAGGTCTGTAATTTGTACAATTTATTTATATTACTTTGATAAGTGTCCTGGGAACTACCAAAAAAACTAAAAGAAAAAGAAAAAATATTTAAAACAAATTTTGGATAAAAGGTCACCATTGATCTCATAAACTATGTGAACTTCCTGAGACTTAGTTTCTCCATCTATAAAATAAATATGATGTTTACCTTACAGGACTGCATAAGGTTAACTGAGATATTTAATGTAACAGCCCAGCTCTGTACCTGAAAAACGAATGATGTTAATTATTATTTTCTTAGTTTGGAGACCTCCCTCCATTGCCCTCCTCCATTAGGAAAAACCTCTAAAAATTCTAAAAATCTTCAGAAACAACACAAAGTCACCTTCTAAAAACCTTTGGTTAACAGTATTGGGGTTTTGGAATTAGAAGAAATCTCCACATAGACGAAAGTCTGCTATTTAGAAACTTCATGACCTTGAAGAAGTTACTTCTCTCTGCATCTAGGTTTCCCAACAGCAAATGAGATCATCACTGTACATCTCTCTCTGTAGGACTGTGAGATGTTAAATGACATAATGCAAATAGAAATCTTAGTTCAATCCCTGACATTGTAGAGTAAGTTCTCTACAAATATTATATACTAGTGGAAGTGGTAATATAAAGTCTCTTCATAAAACATTAATAAAAGTGCTTATACTCTCAGTGTTGTAGCATTTATGATGCTAGCATCTTTTAAACTGAGATGCTGAACAAACTGTCAGGGATTGGTATTTGCCTATATATATATATGCCATATATATATAGGTATAGAATATTTTGGACAAAGTTCTAATCTATTTTATATTTTCCTTGAAAAGGTGGGTAGGGGTAAATAATGCCCACTGCTAGTTAACAGTCAAAGAAGCTGCGGAAGCTACTAGACTTTCTGGATCCTGGATACAGGCAGAGAAGGCACAAAGCGCAGCCTTATGAAAAGCACCAATAGATCGGACCTCGATAACTCCCTGGAGCTCACCTCTAACGGCCCCCTCCCCTTGGAGCCGCGCACGCGTACAACTGATTATGCTACTCTCTCCCTAGTGCCCCCGCCTCCGACGGCCCCCCGCCCCGCTTCCAGTCACCCTTCTCCCTCTCGTCTCCCCAAGACGCAGGCGCATCTCCTCAAATCCAGTCCCTAACCCTTTCTTTTTGCTCTTCATTTCGTTCCCCCGCCTCTTCCAGCACCTCTGCGAATTCAAACTCGCAGCCGTGAGGGTGGCGACGATCGCGAGGTCACGTGATGAGCATCCTACTGCCTAACATGGCGGAGTTCGACACCATCTCGGAACTGGAGGAGGAAGAGGAGGAAGAAGAAGCGGCAACGTCGTCGTCGTCGTCCTCCTCCTCCTCTTCCTCCTCCTCTTCCTCCTCCTCCTCCGTATCGGGGCCCGAAGACGACGACGAGGAAGAGGAGGAAGAGGAAGAAGAGGAGGAGGAGGAAGAGGAGGAGGAGGAGGAGACGCCGCCCCCGCCTCGGGTAGTGAGCGAGGAGCATCTGCGGAGATATGCCCCGGACCCTGTCTTGGTGCGGGGCGCCGGCCACATCACTGTGTAAGAGTGGGGGGCGGTGAGGTTTGGAAAGACTGAGATTTGGCGACAGATGTATGAGATGGGGATCAAATACCAGTGGAGTGGGGGAGGGTTGACTGAAGCTTACCGAAAGGACACCTGGTCTAGAGAATATGTGAGGACAATGCATGTGATGCACCAGCAGCAGATAATGAATGCATGTTAAGGGGAAGTAGGGGATTAGTAGCGGGAAGGATTGCCTTAAAGTGAATTGACTTGCATCTGAGTAGGCTGTGAAGGGACTATCTTTCAACTGCAGATGTAGCAAGGATTCTTTGCTGCTAAGGTTGATGTCTAGTGGAAAACAGTCACTGCGGGGACAAGACACAGGCTTAGAATCTTTAAAGCAGAAGCATGCTTTGTTTTGTGGATAATATTATAGAGTACCCACATGCGCAGTAATTCATTCTTTCTAGCTGATCTCACATGAGTTTAATAATCTTTTTTATGTTTTGATAGCATTTCACCCTGGCATCCCTTAAATGTCTCACAATTGGAGGTTCAGGTTGAGAAGCAGCAATGAAAAGTAGAAAGCCATTGGCTCTTGAATGCTTGTGTCAGCTTTGTTACCAGCCACGTGACCTTGGTCAGGTTACTTACCATTTCTGGGCCTTGATTTCTCTGTAAAATAAGGAGTCTGGAATAGTGGTTTTAATGCTTTTCGCCTCTGGGATAGTTTAAGAGACCTCCAGATTCTATTTGCTCAAATATTAAATACACGCTTAGTATATGGTATGTGCATAAATGCAAATTAGCCCTCTAGCAGCTGAGGATTTTTTAAAAGGTGACCAGAGGAGTGACTCTTTAAAATATTGAAAGTGTGAATTATATTTGAGAAAATAAAAAGGGACAGGACTTCATAGCATAGTTGTTGCACAGCAAAAGAAAATTTTTATAGTTCTCTGAGCTGAAGAGTGGTTTCTCAGTTTTATGTGCTTGGACTGTAAATATTTAGAGATTTAAATATTGCGCTTTGTCTGTCCTCTTAAATATGCTATTTTAACTGCATTTCAAAATGGGATTATTTTTCCCTATGAAGTCATGCATGCCTCTTAATTTTTCATAATGGTTTTCCTCTTTGATTTTCCAATTCAGTTCATATTATATAAAATCATGTATAATATGGACTGCCCTCTACCTATCATGTTAACTTTTTAACCGGTTGAATTTTGGGTAATTTTTTGTGAATTCTGCGTGAAATGCACTTCTAAAAGTTTTGAAGTTTTAGAGGACTTTGGGGAGATTTCTAGATCTTTTTGATTAAGAAATTCTAACGCCCAATTTTTAAATTTTTTATTCTAGTTATGTATTTCCAGTAGTGTTAACCCTTATGGTTTTGTTGTACACTATTACCTTACCTCACCAAAGTGCCAAGACTTTCAATCCACATCTTCATAAATTTTAGCATAAATTTTATTGGTCCAAGAATTTTTAAAGCAATCTGTGATATTGGAATAAGGATGACAGTGGTATTGATAGGTACAACACTGATTTACTTACATACCTTTCATCATTAAGGACATATTCTTTCAAACAAAGGTTACTTTTATGCAGATTATTTTCACATGGCTGAACAGAATAAAGGTTTGTATTCCACTTCAAAATTTTATACTCCAGGGCCAGAAAGATAGTACAGTGAGTAAGGCGCTCATCTTGAACATGGTTTGTGTTGAACACTGCTGACCCGGTTTCAATTCCAGGCACCACATATGGTATCCTGAACCCGCCACGAGTCATCCCTGAGCATAGAGCCAGAAGTAAGCCCTGAGCACCACTGAGTGTGAGCCCAAACCCAAACAAAACAATCAGAATTTTATACTCCATTATTTTATAAAATTAATAAAACATAGAAGGAGCAAGGAAACCGAATTTAAGTTTCATGAAACTAATTTGTTGTTGTAGTTTACTTTGGGGGGCATTTGGCCACATCCAGCAGTGCTCAGGGCTTATTCCTGGCTCTGTGCTTCAGGGTTCACTCCTTGTGGGGCTCCAGGGAATCATATGTGATACCAGGAATGGAACTGGAGTTGGCAGCATACAGGCAAGCACCTTACCTGCTCTGCTATCACTCTGAGCCCTCCATTCTTCTCTTAATACTATCATGGTGAACTTATTTTCAATAAAAAGCAATATACTGATACTTGTTAGGCTCAGACCCTTGTGATACATGTAATGTCCCCCCAACATAAAAATTCTGGAATCAGGAGAATTCAGCAATTCTCTTGTGGTGGTAATTGAATCAAAGCCTGAAAAGCTGCAAACCTATATTTTGAATTGCTAACCAAGACCTCCTATTGTTCATTGATTTGCTCAGGCGGGCCCAATAACATCTCCATTGTGAGACTTGTTGTTACTGTTTTTGGCACATCAAGTATGTCACGGGTAGCTTGTCAGTGTTTGCTGTGAGGGTGGGATACTCTCGGTAGCTTGCCAGGCTCTCTTGAGAGGGGCAGAGGAATCGAACTCGGGTCGGCTGCATGCAAGGCAAACACCCTACCCACTGTGATATGGCTCCAACCCGCAATAACCAAGTAAATTGGTAAATTATTTAGTTGTAATGTACACATTCATCACAACTGTGATTGGTAAATAATTTAGTTGTAACATACACATTCATTACAACTGTGATTGGTAAATAATTTAGTTGTAATGTACAACAAATTTCCTTCATCTAGAAAATTCATTTGATGCTGAATATCTTGATGCAGTTTGAAAGAAGATTAAATTTTTAGGAATGAATTTTACTGGTTTTAAGAACTGGTGTTTCATTGGTAGTGAAGCCTTCCTTATGTCAGATAAAATAAGATACTTAGGTAATGGTTAATTTTTTAAATTGAATCACAGTGAGATACACAGTTACAAATTTTTCATGATTGGGTTTCAGTCATACAGTGTCCCAACACCTGTCCCTTCACCTGTGTACATTGCCCACCACCAGTGTCCCCAGTTTCCCTCCTGCCACCCCTCCCCTCCACTGCCTGCCTATATAGCAGGCGCTTTTCTTCTCTCTTGTGCTCACTTTCTCTCTTTCCTTTTTGGGCATTATGGTTTGCAATACAGGTACTGAAAGATAGATAGATAGATAGATAGAAAGATAGATAGATAGATAGAAAGATAGATAATCCCTTGTCTGCTTTCAGCACTCAGTTCTTGTTCAGAATGATCATTTCTGGCTATCATTGTCATAATGGTCCCTTCTCTATCCTAACTGCCTTATCCCCCACACTTTTAGCAAATCTCCAACCGTGAAACAGTCCTTCTGGTCCTTGTTTCTATTGTCCTTGGGTATTAGTCTCATATATGTTTTTATATCCTACAAATGAGTGCAATCATTCTATGTCTGTCCCTCTCCTGATTCATCTCTCTCAGCATGATATTCTCCATGTTCGTTTTAATAAGCAAATTTCATGATTCATTTTTCCTGGTAGTTGCTTAGTATTTCATTGTGCAAATGTACCATAGTTTCTTGACCCAGTCTTCTATTCCAAGTGCTTGGGTTATTTCCAGATTCAGGCTATTGTAAATAATTCTGCAATGAACATAGGAGTGCAGATTGCTTTTCTACAGTGTGTTTTGGGGCCCCCAGCATATACTCCCAGAAGTGGTATTGCTGGGTCATATGGAATCTCAATTTTTAGATTTTTTGAGGAATACTTTAATAATTACTTTAATACTGAGACATCTAAAATATCAGCTTCCATTTATTTTTTCTAGCATGAGAATATTAGAGTTATCCTATATGAATGAAATATTTCTTATTTTATGAACTTTTAAAATTTTTGCATAGTCTATAATTTAGTAAAGAGCTTTGTTTCTTTATAAAGTTTAAAATTTCAGAACAGTCACCTTTCAGTATATCTCAAACCCTATTTCCCTTCTCACATTGACAGTATATTCCAGGTGCCCCATTTCAGTCACTAATTCCATAATTCTAATCTCCTGCAATGGTATTTCAAATTCTTGAATCATTTTAAACTTCTCCGTCACCTTGAAACGTTTTATGCCATTCTGTTCCAGAATTATGTCATTATACCTTTTAAAATGTCTATTAGAATATTCATTTTTCTCCATTTCTACTGGCATTGCTCTAGTTTGGGTTGCCATTATCTATTTGCTTGAGTAGGCTGCCACTTCTCTGCATTCCAGTCCATCCTATGTACTTAAAACAGTTTAATTATTACCACTTTATTGCTGAAAAACCTGCATCAATCCTATTTAGTTATAAATTCCTGTGCCTATGTTCCTCCAATTCAGACTCAAGGAATTCTTCTACTTTCCTGAAGTTCACCATGCCTTCACCTGTGTCTTTCATAATCATCACTTCTGCTTTCTCCTAGATCTTGGTTTCATCAGGCCATGCCTGGCTCTCTTGCTTTACCTTTTTCTCCTCCTCTTCTGGCTCAGCTTGTAAACCTATTCAGAATCTCTCTATTTCTTTTTAAAAATGAAAACAAAGGGGCCAGAGAAATAGTACAAGAGGTAAAGCACACTCAGCTAGACCCAGTTTGATCCCTGGCACCATGATCTCTGAACAGAGCCAGGAGAACTCCGAGCACTACCAGGTATGCACCAAAAGCCAAAAATAATAATTAAATCCTTCATAGACCTAGATTACCTTATAGCTACGGTCTAACCTAACCTTTGGAGATTTCAAATTTCTTGAAAGTAACCATATTGACTCTGGGGTGTACTGGTAGAATACATGTTTCTCATATGCAATATTCTGGATTAGATCTCCAAGGGGGAAAAGCAGCATACTGAAACACCGTATCACTGTCACTGCCCTCCCGTTGTTCATCGATTTGCTCGAGCGGGCCCAGTAACGTCTCCATCGTGAGACTTGTTGTTACTGTGTTTGGCATATTGAATACGTCACGGGTAGCTTGCCAGGCTTTGCCGTGTGGGCGAGATACTCTTGGTAGTTTGCCGGGCTCTCTGAGAGCAGAGGAATCGAACCCAGCTCAGCCGGGCCGGCTGCATGC